CAGTGAGGATGATTAATTTAAAAGTCTCAGTGCTTGAGGAAAGAAGCTGCTCTGGAGGTTGAAAGGGGAAAATAATAGAGTTGAAGACCGGTTGGGGATGTTTACCAAAACAATGAAAATATTTGGGGAAATTTAAATTTAATAGGGTCCAGTAAGGGTAGTATTCTTCAGCAGTATGTCTTGCAATTTCTGAAGGTTGTAGGTGAACGAGATAATACCAAATATGCAGTTGTGCTTAGCTCTCCTGGGCCTTGGTAAATAACACTGGATATATCACAAGATTCATCCAGAGAAAAACAATATAACACTGAGAAAAGGATGCACCTGGTTCCTGTTTCCGCCAGACTCATATCCTGTCCTGCTCTGTGCAGCCAAAGCCAAAGTGCTTTGGTCACCAGTAAATGCATGCTGGATGAATTGAGAGGAGCGGAGTGAGTAGGGGGGTGACTTTGCCCCAGGGCACTGATGTGGAATCAGTTTAAAACAGCTGCAGTAAGGTGTAAAAAAAAAAGAATACAGTGTTTTGTCATTCAAACAATAGTCACTCAGTCCGGAAGCAGTGTGTGTGACTTCACTATTATTGATTCTAACAAACGGGTTAAAAGACTGTTTCTTATTTTGCATCACGGCATTGCTCAAAAACAAACACTGATAATGTTGACGGCAATGACAGTTGGTCTGTCCAGACTTGTATATCTCTCAACTATTGGACTGCCATGAAATTTTGTACAGAGAGGGTGTGAAGTCTGTGGACTTGGCGGTCCCCTAACTTTCCTTCTAGCACAGCCATTCTCAATAAGTGGTGCTGCCGAATGGCCTTGGGTCTCATTTATAAAACTGTACATAGAAAAGACTCTTAAATGTTGCATATGTATAAAACACAGAAAGTGTGCGCACAAAAAGACATTCAATCCAGTGTGACACTGACGTTCGTTTTGGTGAAACAGAAGCATGTTGTTTGGTGGGTAAAAAGCGCACATACACGCAACGCTTGTGCACCGGAGCGCCACGCCCTTATAACTGATCTACTGAATATGCTTGCTGGTTAGCTCGAGCTACAGCATGTATTGCTCGCATCTGCTAATCCGGTTTCAGCAGTAACTAACAGCACCTTTCCCCTCGTCCTGAGGGCATTTCACACTATACAACTATATGCTAGTAAAGCTCAGTCTGTGTCACTAGCTAACAGGCTCTAGCTACATCTAGTCCATACAGTCCATACAGTGCGCATGGGCATCCTGGATTTTCTGCAGGGCCTGTTTGATTGTGGCTGTGCTGCATCCAAAGCTGCATCTGTGTTGCAGCTATTACAGCGGGCCTCAACAGTCTGGACTATTTCATGGCCAGGAGCCACCCGCTGGTGAGGCATGTCCTACAGGCTGAGGTCCCTTGGTCATTGTGTTGGCCCTCAATGGGTCCTCCAAAAGGTGTTGGACAGCCTTCAGGAGGATCTCTTGGAGCTCCTCTTAGCTCTGGCGTCTACCAAGAGGGCAGGGGACCTGTGAGGGCAGGGGACCTGTGGTCTTGTCTGTGCCCTCCTCTTGTAGGTCTATCAGTGGCAACAGGGGGTCGGTGGAACTGCGTCCAAATCTGTCCTTTTTTCCTAAAGGTCACCTTTTCTTTCAGGTCTAGGGTCATGAACCTGAGGCCTTCATTCCTCCTATCACCAAAGGGGAGGAGAAGCGCCTGCACACCTTATGATCTAGACAGGCACTTTCTGCTTTCAATTGCTTTCAGGAAATACGACTGGTTGTTAGTGTACCACAGCGGTTAGGCTCAGGGGCCCCTTTGTCTGTGCAGCGGCTTGCTCAGACAAAGGGGCCTAAAAGCACATACTCAATGGCGCTTTTCAGGAGTGTCTCCGTGGAAGACACCTGTCTGACCGCCTCCTGGTCTTCCATTTCAACCTTTGTGCAGTCATGTCTCATGGACATGACCGCTGGTTCTGCATCTGTTTCAGTGCTTGGTGCACTGTCTTGGGGGGCCTCGTCTGAAGAACAAAGAGGTCTTTTTTGATAACATCCAGCCACGCTGGTATTGTTGCAGTTTGACTGAGGCCCTCAGGTGGGGCTGCGGGACCTCTGTCATGTTTCTGGCTTTTGGCAGGGTTCTGACTAGTTTTTGGTTTGGGTCCAGCTGGGAGAACATTTCATCCCTACAGCCTTTGCTTTTAACCAATTGCATAGCCAGTTGCAGAACACCTATGAAATAGAATTAGTAGTTACCTGGATGTAACTCCAGTTGTATGAGCATGTGCGGAGCCCTCTAACTAGTCCACCCTAGTTGTTGTTGCTGACTTTCCAAGGGAGATCAGCAATGCATGCACTGGAGCTATATAGGGTTTTGATTTTGTCTCAAGTGCTGAGGCAGAGCCTAGTGATGGCAAACCAATAGCGAAGCCCCAGCTGTACTTTGTGTTTAGTGCTAATTAGCAAAATTTAGCATGATAACACACTAAACTAAAATGGTGAACATGACACACATTATACATCCCTCACATTTTTGTAAATATGTGATTATATCTTGAAGAAATGACACTTTGGTACAATATAAAGTAGTGAGTGTACAGCTTCTATAACAGTGTACATTTGCTGTCCCCTCAAAATAACACATTACACAGCCATTGATGTTTAAACTGCTGGCAACGAAAGGGAACACATCCCTAAGTGAAAATGTCCAAATTGGGCCCAAAATGTCAATATTTTGTGTGGCCACCATTATTGCCTTAACCCTCTTGGGCATGGAGTTCACCAGAGCTTCACAGGTTGCCACTGGAGTCCTCTTCCACTCCTCCATGACGACATCACGGAGCTGGTGGACGTTAGAGACCTTGTGCTCCTCCACCTTCTGTTTGAGGAGCCCCACAGATGCTCAACAGGGTTTAGGTCTGGAGACATGCTGGGCCAGTCCATCACCTTCACCCTCAGCTTCTTTAGCGAGGCAGTGGTCGTCTTGGAGGTGTGTTTGGGGCCAATCTCTGAAGAGAGGGGATCCTGCTCTGCTTCAGTATGTCACAGTACATGTTGGTATTCATGGTTCCCTCAATGAACTGTAGCTCCCCAGAGCCGGCAGCACTCATGCAGCCCCAGACCAGGACTCTCCCACCACGTTTGACTGTAGACAAGACACACTTGTCTCTATACTCCTAATCCATGTCCTTAGCCTGCTTGTCTTCAGCAAACTGTTTGCAGGCTTTCTTGTGCATCATCTTTAGGAGAGGCTTCCTTCTGGGACGACAGTCATCCAGACCGATTTGATGCAGTGTGCGGCATCTGGTCTGAGCACTGACAGGCTGACCGCCCCACCCCTTCAACCTCTGCTGCAATGCTGGCAGCGCTCATATGTCTATTTCCCAAAGACAAGTTCTGGATATGACACTGAGCACGTGCACTCAACTTCTTTAGTTGACCATGGCGAGGCCTGTTCTGAGTGGAACCTGTCAAATTAATTGTCTTTCCTCTTTTTATAATTTTTATACTTGTATATTGTATATTTCTATGTACATGCAGCAACCATGCAGTCCAAAACAAATTTCCTTTCGAGGACAATAAAGTAGACTACTACCCCTTAAACAAAAACATTGCTAGCTAGCTAGCTACTACGTGACCCCGGGGCGTCACATACACACGCGGCCTGGATGCGTCTCATATACACCTACCTGGGGGCTACTATACACGCAAAATCACAGTTTTGCGTACAATACACACGGCTTTTCCAAAGCGTGTATGTGTGACGCCCCATTCACACCTGAGACCTAGTAACACTAACGAGTCACATGACACTGGGGAGAGAAAATGGCTAATTGGGATGAATTTGGACATTTTCATTAAGTGGTACTCACTTTTGTTGCCAGCGGTTTAGACATTAATGGCTATGTGATGTGTTGTTTTGAGCGGACAGCAAGCTGTACACTCACTTCTTTACATTGTAGCAAAGAGTCATGAAAAGATGTCAAATATTTATAAAAATATGAGGGGTGTACTCACTTTTATGAGATACTGTAAGTCAATGTACAGAGTCACATAGATATATGGCTACAGACTTGTGTTCTATTTACAATTTTCACCTAAGATGTTAACACAATACTACTGACATACAGGCTACTGTATGTCCAATTAAAACAGGCTCTGCTAAAATTAAAAAGCCCTCTGGTATGTTTTTTATTACCTGTAAGTCTACAATATTATTGCCAGATATTACAATAAAACAAACAAAGGTTGTATTTCCATCTGTCCATTCTGCTTGTCCTTGTTTTAAAAACGCCATAGAGTACAACCTCTATCTGTAGCAGACTGTATCAATCCACATGAGGGTGGCTGCAAAATTGTTAAAACATAGATAGTTTTAAGGGCAGATGAGAATTTTAGATACTAGAGTTTAGCAAACAGGGTGTGACTAACTAAACTGCATGACCTATCCCAAACTGGCAGGCTGAGTGGCCTAAATGAGCTAATACAGTGGTACTGCTCTAGAACTACACCAGACACACACACCCAGACAACAAACTAATTGTTGACATGCGCATATACTAACAAAGGAAGGAAGGAAAACAAAAACTCTGTCTCTTTCCCTGAAGTACCCCAGACAACCTTCCTATAAAGTACAGCACAATTCTTCATAAGCCATCCTTAAATTAAAGCAGGTTTTATATAGGACAGTCTGATCAATAAAGTGGCTGTTATAAAGTGCCTGCATAGCTTTAATCCTATAGATCAGTCAAGCATAAAAACAGAGATTAATCCGTTTTTATGGTCAGACATAGACATAGTATGGGGTAAATAGGGAACTGAAAGTTGCATATTAACAGGGCCTAAAGATTAAGATAATAATTAAATAAGAGTATTCAAAAAAGGTTCACTGCTGTTACTTGCCAATAAATCATTTTTTCCCCCAAAAAGATGCAAGTAAATGAAATCATTTTGCTTGAAGAAATGTTAAAATGAACAAGTTGTTGATTATCCATCACCTCAAGCTATGCACCATAAAAGAACAGAAGAACACATTGACAAAGTATTTCTTTAATTACAGTCACAAACTGTCACACATACAAATAGTAAAAATATAGAAAATGTATTTATATTTTCTATAAATCTCGATTGCTTCAAACAGCAGTAAAAGAAGAAATGCCTTTTCAAGAGCAAGAACTAGTGTAACTAGTGTAGAGCAGGGCCTGCGTAGAAACCTGGACAAGAAAGGGTTACCATATAAATTAATTTGTGTATCTCTCAGTTGTGAATAAAATACAGGCAAATTATTAAGGGGTTCATTGGTCAAATTTTTATGTAATGAGGACAAACTAGAAAGACATCTTAAAGTGATAAAAGTAAGTTGAAGTTTCAAAATGAAATGGATGTGGCTTGGTAACTTCATTCATGACATTTGCTTCATATGGAAACAGTGCACTGCAACTTCTAATCATTTTTCAAATGAATTCTGTGTACAATTTAAAGTTTCTCTACATTTAGTTTTAAAGCAGCCACAAGTTCGTTAGAGATAACATTATCTATACACCACTGTTGTGTGAACGTTATACTATCAGCATGGGTAACCAAGGAAGCAAATATCTTCCAGAGACAGATGGTAGAATTTAATGTTTATGTTCTCATAATGTAATTACAAAACTGACCAAATGCCTATTCCCTAAAACAACCATTGATTTGGTATTACATTTCAGTGTTGTTGAGTCACTGTGAGACACATATTGTCTCTGAAAAAAGCAACCTGGTGGTTTTTGTATACCTGGAGGTCAAGGCACTTCTACTGCATCATGAAAGATGAGATTTTCCCACTGGTATGGGTACGGTAGTTAGAACCTGGTTCTGAAAAACAAATCTCTGTATGCGTTCAAAGATCCAGAGGAAGACAAGGAGGACACTGATGTATTGAACCCAGGCAAATTTGATGGTTTCCCAGAAGCCAGGACGATAGGTGGAGGCAAATGGTTAAGGCAGAAATTATGAAGAAACCTGGCCAAATCTTCTGTACTGGGCCGCTGTATTTGGATGCAGTTCACTTCATTTCTTCACCTGCTTTAACCCAAGATACAACTACCATTTAACATTGCTGACGCAACACATTTTTAAAAACCGTTTAGTTTTTCAGCCTAGCCTGGTGTCGCCAGACTTGTTTGCATATTCGTATTAGTCTGGATCCTCTCATTTCGTTTAAAATTTGAAATGGAAGTTATCAGTGGGAGCAGACGAAAATGCATCCTGGTTGGATAGATCTATAACCAATCGACACATGCAAGTTGGGGCAGTGCTTGTCTGTTTTCAAGTAGGAGAAAAAATAGCAGCCTTGTCATAAGCGTTCTCAAATTGCAGGCAGATAGTACAGTAAAATGTGTTTTTGAAAACATTTGAGATGGGCAATGCAGTAACATAATCCTGATTCATATCTTATCAGCACCTAGTTTGACAGTTTGATGTAAGAGGAGGACCTACAACGAACCAGAGTAACGAAACATGTGACTTTTCAGTCAAATCTGAAACGGTGACACTTTTTTCAGTCAAACCAAATGCCACCATATCAGATTGTGACGCCCTGTGGGGTCAGGTCTAGTGACTGGCCCGACTTGATCCACTTCAAGTGGGAATGTTTCTGAATGGGAGGGAGGCTGGGAATCAGATGAATCTGCTGAAGTCATGTTTCATTTGGTCTGGCAGATATGTCAGATTCCCAGCCCAGTTTTCATGTGTGGTTTTCAGCGTGACCCTTTTTGTAGTTAAACTTGCTGTCTCACTGCTGATCCTAGCCCACACTCATTTCATAAGGTGAAAGCAGGAGGAACACACTGTTGCCTGCAAAAATTCAGGTTAATTTATATATGTATATATGAATGCATACAGTATATATGAATAAATAATATGCTAAAACGATAGAACTAGCAACACTTTACTTTGACCCCCTTATTTTAGCCCATATTAATAATATTATTATTAATACTAATAAGTTTAAACATTTAATAAATTATTTATAACACTATAATGAAGTAAGAAAATGTAAGTCTTTAACTCCTCCTGCAGGCACCCAGAAGTGAAGACTGTTGTATAAACAGATGAATGACACAGCTGTAATTATGTAGAATATGTTATCATTATTTACTTTAAATGTCCTTATAACTGTGTGCAACCACATTATAGTGTGTTATAAACCATTTATCAAATGTTTACTATATAGTACTTATATACGCAAAAGGGGGGAGGTTTCCATTGAAGGCATATAAAAATAATCTCTCCTATGAGTGAATCCTATGTTAAAATACACAGAAACACAAAACCCTTTCCTGCATTTATTAAAGGATATCTTATGACCTCCAAAGGGTACCGGATTTTTGCATTTAGCTGAAAGGGAGAACCAGCAGCTCGTCCCACAGTCCAGACTGGCATGGGACAGGACAGTACTGTGGTCACTATGGCAGAAAAAAGAAAGGGGCAAAAAGAAAATTGACAGAAAGACTGACAGTTGACACATTTTACAAAATGTGAATGTAATGCCATGGATGTAATAAGCGGTGGGTTTAATTCCCGATCAAAGGTGGTGATTCAGCTTGAGTTGATTCTGCTTTGAGTCACACAGCATATTAAGCAGTCATAAAATCAAGCAGCCAAAATAAGAGCCTTTTGTCAACTTACAGTTTCTATCCTGGTAGCTTCCAATTATGTTGTCAAGGTCATACGCACTTGCAAAGGGGCTGGAGCCATCGATCACTGACACCTAGGCATCAACAGAGAAAAAAGACAGACAGATCAAATACCAGATTAGTGACAGGTCATTTTAATATTGTCCATTCATTTTACACTATAATGCAGGGCTTTTCAGTCTGACACTGGGGACACCCCCAGAAAAAAAAAGGCCGGCAACAAACTGGAGACCAAGACACGAGTCTAAAGGTTTGAGTACGATACCAAAGGCTGACATCAGGGCAGCTGGACTGAAGGCCAGTGACAGGGCAGCAGGGCTGGAGCCCATCCAGAAGAACCAGAAGTGGCTGCTGCAGTTCAGTTATAGAGGCAGAATGTTGTTGCAACTCAGCAGACTCAGCAAGTTGTTGCAGCTACTCAGCAGAGTGAGGGATGTGCTGTAGCACAGGTGTTAAAATCATTTGCAGCTCTGTGACTGAAGCAGGAGGTCTCTGCAGCATTGCAGTGTCAGGGTGCTGCAGTAGTGCAATGGTGACAGGGATCTGCAGCAGCTCAGCAGTGTCAGGGGGTTGGCTGACAGGCAGGCAGGTAGCTAGTCACCGATGCACAAGCAGGCTGGGGAATCAGGTAGTTAGATGCTAGCTAGCAGGAGACACAGAGTCAAGTTTAGGGCTAGCGTGCTGGGAGCTAGCAGGGGTGACCAGGAACCTCTCTCCCCTCCAGGTCACTGATTCCACAGCCACGGAATTGTAGACAATGCTTGTGATTCCACCAGACGCAACGCAGTGTGTTTCAGAAGCATCCCAGAAGTGGCTCTGCTCCGCCGAGAGCATACACAGCAAATCTATTTTAGACAAAAGCCCCGTCAAGCAGAACAGAGCAGATGAACCAGGCAGAAAGTCAGACACAGAAACGGCACATAGAATCTAGCCAATTTAACACCCTGTGAAGACTCCCCATCATATTCAACAGTTAACACAATTAAAACAGACAAAAAGTAACCATTAACTACATAGCCTACATAGTGTCATTAAATGGTCTTCAAATGACATTAATATTGTCTATCGCAATTATTTCTGGGACAGTATATCGCCCAACAAAAGTAGTTATTGTGACAGGCCTACATGCAGGTACACAGGCTGCTGGCATGATCAATCGCAGACATAAACAAATGCACTGTCAGCAGAGTGGCATATTTTACAAACCAAGAGCAAACTGTTATATTAAGACAAATACGACATAGTCTAAGTAACACAGCTGGAGAGAGAAAACCGCCGATAGTGTGAATGCCTGAATGAACAGGCGTAGCCTATAAAAATGTGTTGATTTGATGTGTTCTTATGGCGTCTACGTAAACATCAGCCTTATTCTTTCAGCTCAGCTGTGGTCGCTCCACCTCACCTTTTAAGAACTTTTTGTTACTTCAAAAATGAGATTTATTTGACGCACTCAAAAGTGTCCCACACATTGTTCTAAATTAACTTCATAAAGCAATTGTTCATCTCAACAATTAGGCTACTGAAAACTCCCGTACATAACCTGCGCTCACAACGCAAGAGGTGGGGCACTACGTGACCAGTCTGTAAGATAGCTACTAACCTAAAATAAAAAGCCTACGTTCATATTAAATCTTTTTAAAATATCACTACCAACTGCTCATAATATTCATAAAACTTGGAATGTTTAAACTCTCTCAATGAAGACTTTTATGGGGCTGGGGAGTCTACAATTGACCTTAGCATGGGAATAGTCAGGGGTAGGATATCAGCGGGCGTGGCTGTCCTATGGAATAAGAAGCTAGACTCAATAATAAATGTGTTTTTTTTATCTTAAATGTGTATACACCATATCAATGCTGTCAGAATGAGGATGAATATTTAAATAGGCTTGCCTTCATCAGTTCCTTTATTCAAAACATTAACACCTCTTGCGTTTATGTCATTGGAGATATGAATGCGGATATCTCGGATAAGAAGTCACGATTTGCCAAACATAATTCAATTCTGTGAAGATAATCACATATTGTCAAGCAGAGTATTGTTGCCCACAAACAGTTGTACTTACATTAGCGAGGCCTGGCACACTACATCATGGCTGGACCACTGTATCAGTACAGCTGATGCACATGCCTCCCTGGGGTGTATGTACATTTTGTATGGGGTAACAACATGTGAGCATATACCTCTTGCTATGGTGAGAAATGCTGAACAAATACCTGTGCTATCCAGATGTGGAAACAGTGTCAACACAGAAGTATTAGACTGGTCAACACTCAAAAAGGAAGACATTTCTGCCGATTATGCACATACAGATAAGTCATTAGGTAATATCCAACTACCTCTAGATGCTGTGTAGGGACATTAACTGTGGATGAGAAGCATAGGAGAGATATATGCTCCATGTATGCTGACATAGTTCATGATCTATATGAATGCAGTAAGCCCTATTATAAACATAAAAGAACCATAATAACAAGCCTGGCTGGAGGGAGTATGTGGCTGGATATCATACGGAGGCACAAGAGGCCACTAAATCATGGGCTATTGCTGGTAGACCTCGACAAGGTCCTGTGTTTGAGCATAAGAAGCTCACTAATGCAAAATATAATTATGCCATTCGCTTTATATATAAAAATGAGCAGGCCATGAGGGCTTCCATGGCAAGGAAGCTCATAGGTAACAATGTTAATGATTTTTGGAAAGAAGTGAGAGTTCTTAACAACTGCAAGACATTTCTACCATGTACTGTTGAAGGAATCTCCGGACCAGACAAAATTGCAGCAGTTATGGCGACAGCACTTTAGTTGGATTGCATTTCTGCTGAACATCTTAAAAATGCCAGTATAAGACTAGCTCCTTTGCTCGCCATTTGTTTTACTGTTTTTATGATACAGGGTGTATTGCCAGACTTAATGTTGGCTGTTGCATGTACGGTTGGTGTAAAGATATCTCTGTTTAAAGCATATTGCACACCTTTCTATACTGCGCGCTTGTGGTCAAATTATAGAAAGGCAAGTTTATTGAAATTCAAAGTAGCATATAACTACGCAATGACAATATTACTCACACGACCAAGATGGTGTAGTGCAAGTGAGAAGTTTGTGGCTGCAAGAGTAAGGACCTTTCATGCTCTTTTAAGAAACCTAATGTTTAGATTCATGTGCTGGTTTAATGGGTCACAAAATGAAATAATAATGGGCTTAACTAACATAAGGCTAAGTACTACACGATACCAATACGTATATAGAAACACTGGTATAATTGTCTCCTGGTAGAACAACGATTTTCTTTTGAAATAAATTTTATACTTTTCATTTTTCTAACCATGATTTACTATGGTATTTTTTTATATGTAGGTATATGTGAATGCATGTGCGTTTGTGGATATGTTTTTATGTATTATTGTGGGTGAGATTTGGACCTTGAGTATGTAATAAAGTTTTGATTGATTCATTCAGCCTCACATAAGTAAAATGAAACTCATTTAATTAAATGGCTGCAACAGGCTTTGTGAAATGGACTTGGGAGCAAATAAAAAATATAAAACACATTTCAAAGCAGTAAGTAGGCTTACTGTAAAATCCTATAATAAGTAGTAGCTTACAAGGCTTTCAATCAGTCTCTGTAGGATGATATCGCTATGCTAAAGTTTCTCCGCATCACCACAGCAAACATAAGCAGCCTATAAAACAGTCTGCAGGATCTGCTACAGATAGTGATTTCCCAAGAGAGCGGATTGCTCAGTAGGCGGCGTTTTTATAGAGTTGATCTATAACATAACCTGATCCGGAGCAGGTTAGCTGTTCAGTATAGGTTACCATGGTGATCTACCCCAGTAAGAAGTGACCACAGTACTGGTACTGAAAACCCAGGGTTAATCCTGAAGTTATCTGGATAAGCTCAAATCCGGCTTTGTGGTACAGGCCCCTGGTAATGATGATGCAAAAATCCAGCAAGCAACAAGGACCACGGTTGAAAGGCAGAGGACAAACAGGATGGCAAACAGGATGGCAAACAAGCAGATAGCAAACAGGATGAACTAATATTGTGACAGAGAAGTGACTGGGTGTATGTGCTGAGTGGCTGATGAGGTAATTAGTTGCATGTGAGGAGTGGCCACAGTAGGCCATGTAACTGCAGGGCTGATAGGGAAGTGAGAATGGGGCTGTGGTGAACAAGTTAATTGTAAATAATTGCCCTTTCCTAACCAAATAATCCAAATGGTTGCCACAAATATTTGAATATCCTAATTATTGTATGTATATATTCCATTATATTTACTGGAGATTATCCAGCTTGATACTTGCCTGTGACTGAAGTGAAATGAATTAACGATATTGCTGAATTTATCCATTTCAAAACAGTATGAATATACTTGTATAAAAAATATTATATCAAATACACATCATTCGTTTGATCTAGCTCCGACAGACGGCTTATGCACTTTTATTTTGAAGGCAGCAACGTAACAAAAATAACAACACAGAGAAGTTTGGCAGAAGTTAGCAGACCGAGAGCAATCACAACTTGGATTAATTTTTATGAAAAGCTGTTTTGATTCTTTTTATCGGTGGACCCTTACAGACAAAAGGAATATTAATAATCAAGGAATGGACACAGTCTGACTTAATGAGCTCTTCAAAAGGTAACGGAAGTCGGCACTTTTTTTCCCTCATCTCTTGTACCATGTTGGTCACACCGGTAAGTCTGTATGAATCAAACTTTGGGGCTCGTTGTTTCCGTTGCATGTCCACTGACATCTAGGCCTGTGTTTGTCAAAATGTGTTCCCATACCAGGCCAGTAAAAGGGGCAGGTGGCTATTTGGGACTCTGCTATTAATTGAAGTTTTATGGTAATTCAAACTGAGCATGTCAAGTTAGCCCACATACTGCATTATCCTTACTTTGATCATTTTGGAGTAGCAACATTCATAGCTCGCGTATGGGTTTCAATTCTTGTTTAAAAACACACGCATATTAGCAAGGACAAGAAACCAAACAAACAAAGGAAGCAGATAATACCCTTCCAAAAGTGTCTCCCTGTAGCACTTAATGCAATTTACTATTCTACTCTACTCTGGACATGTGGTACCAACACACCAGAGACAAATTACACATTTCAATCACTAATCACAAACTCCACCTACCAATGCACAGCTTTCCTTCATACCTTACCAAGTCCACCTGCTAAGGCCCTGAGAAGAGAGAAAAAGGTGGACAAATTGCACTACTCCAAGTTACCAAAAACACAACAAAGGCCAAAAGAAACAGATCCATCCGACGAGCCCCCATTTGTCACATGACATGACATGACAAGCCATAAAGTAACATGATTCGCCTGTGGTTTCACTCTGATGGCCTGTGTTTTAAGTTAAAGTAAGAAAGATGTTTTGTTGATATACAACCTATGGTTGTACGTGATCGTTTTTCAGATTAGAGGTTGATGTCTAGTAAAGTGGAGGTGAAAGTCCGCTCTTGCAGGAAACTCCACCCTTTAGAGATATAAACAAGGTCTTCCTGATGTCAGATGTGTTGATCTCGCGCACATATATATAGTATATAAGAAGAGGGTCAAGAGTTTTCATTTTTTAAATCTATATTATTTGAGTTTATAATATTCATTAATGCATTTTAAAACTTGTTTTTTGAGATAACATATTTTATATGTATCCCCTGATGATGAATTGTTTTGATCAGCAAAGAAGGCACAATTAGCTAATGTGACATCAACAGTTAAAAGACAAGCACCTTCATTTTGTGACTATAGGAGCAGGGGAAGCCTTTCTCTCCTTTTGAAGACAGAAAGCGATGAGGAAAATAGAATGAGGGATGACATGAATTCATTGAATTCTGCATTTGGAGTGATGCATTTGAAACAGATTATTTTTATTTCTGCATGCATTTAAGGTTATGTAAGAGAAGGGATGTTCATTTATTTTGTGTGTTAAGTGTGGCCTACTATATTCGGCCTTTATGCGTTGGAAGTTAATGAAATGTTTATGAGAATACTGGTGCGATGACTATATTTGCACCGTTCACTCTAGGCCAAGTTTTTTCTCGCTTCTCTTACATGTATCTCCTGATCCTACCTCATCTCATCAATCCTATCATATGAGTTCCTGGCTCTCTACTGCACCTTGTCCCATTCATACATTTGCCTTTTCGCTCATTTTCTTTGTGATTGTTTTGCATGCTCGACAACCACCCCAGCTTCACCTTCCTGCAGAGTGCTCTGCCAGGATCTGCTGCAGCCTTGGACCATGTGAACTATAGAGTTTCAGGGTGTGTCAAAATATTTTCCCATGTCGTTCTAGACTGCTCTACTTGAATTCGTATTGGTGCAAAACCAAGAGTGAGATAACTGGTGGATAGGAGAAAGACAGTGAGTCTGTGTCCTCTCACATTGTAAATGTTGAACAGTCCTCGGTGAGGCAGGGGTGTCTTCTGCTGCAGCCTCAGGTCTCCGCTGATGAACAGCTTAGCTCCGGGGACAGAAGAAGAGTGCTGCACATAGGCCAGGCTCTGCATCACTACTGTGGACATCCGCTGGAAAAACACAAAGAAATGCACACAGGAAAGGATGTGTGGCTCATTCAGTGTAATAGCAACAGTATCAGTTGACTATATTCTAAAGCCATCTAACCAAACTGACTGATAATATGACCATACACATGCGGTAATTATTCTTGTAGCAGGTAGACTGAAAGAGATAATGGTACTTGCTCCAGGGGCAAAACAGCACACTATACTTATGAATATGTGATATTGTGCACGATCTTGCGAGATTAAAACAATATTTCTATTAGGGGAAAACCTGTCTGGCGAGATTCACACAATGGACACTTTTCACACACTGTCACATCAATTTTCTCACACACTGAAAAACAAATGAGTAACTGATAACGTCAACTCGCTTTGCAAGTCATCTTCACCCAGCTGAAGTGACACCCGCATACACCGAGATAAGGGACCCAGAGTTTTTCTATATATACGTAAAAACCTGAGCGCAAACTTGTTCTGTTTGGGACTGTGAGCTGCACTTTATTGGAGGCGTTTAAGTTAATATTTGTGTGGATTTGTGGTGAGATTGCGGCCTGATCACATGTGTTTCATAGAGCTGACCCCAAATAGTCGAAGATTCGATGCTGCGATGGGCGGAGCCTGATTCGACTGTCAATGTCACAGTCGAAGCTTCACAGCAAAACAAGGATCATGCCATATTAGCGATATGGGGCTGCTCAACGTTTTAGAACTACCAGTTTCCTCCCAATACGTTAATATACAGCCTATTACAATATACATTTCAAAGTTTAATGCTGTAAATAAACATGTAAAAGGAAAAAACTTTCACTAAATGTTTTTAAAGTGGTAGAATAAATCCAACCCTGGGTCAGTGCGCATGTGTAGGCGTAGCGTTTATACAGTCTATGGTGTAGCCTAGCGGCAGAAGAAGAACCTTGCTGAAGAGACCGAGCCCCAGCTTCACTGGTGTTGTGCCAGTGTGGAGTTGTCCGCACCTCGCGGGACTTTCAGATAATCTATCACCATCGAAGAATCACAAAAAGAATATAATATCGTTTCTTGAAATAGACACGCTAGGAACAGCATGGCATGCAAGCAAAACTCTGCACAAGACCGGTGAATGACAAGCGAGAGAGAGAAAGAGAAAGGGCCTTCAAAAAGCCTCAGTTTAGCTGGAAATTTACAGTTTAAGTTGAATGAATAGCAATCACCATGCACAAAAATTCACATGATTCGACTATAGGCAGGACTTGACAATTCTGAGTCGACTATGTAAATCCTTAGTAGGGACAGCCCTAGTTTTCAGTTAATTTAGCTTTCCACCTCCTTGTCTCATCCAGTAAAGTCCCAAATGGGGTTCTGTGTCTGTCATATGGTCTGAAGGGCCTATTACCATATCAGCAGAGCAATAATGTAATGCACAGCAGAGTATAGGGTTGGCTGACTTCAAAAGAATTATGAATTCTGCTTAAATGATGACATTAGTCTCATAATATTAAGAATTATTTCTGGACAGGTCAGAGAACACAGATGTGTAAGAGAGATTATGAATGTGCAGAAAGTTTTGTACATGAGCAGAAAACCTGCTGAAACAGAGGAGCACCTGAATTTTGTATTTCCCTCTACATAAATAAAAACATTTCCACCATAAATTGATAGAGAAAAGGCAGATATTGGTGCAAAAAAAAATCACCAGAACGCAGGAAATTAAGTGTTTCAAATTTCTCAAAATTTTCATAATTTTCATAACTTAGTATTGAACTTTAAAAAAAAAAGTGTTAAAATCTCGTCTGGTCTCACTCCAGTAAAATATATGAGGATAATACAGGTGCTGGCATATAATTAGAATATCATCAAAAAGTTGATTTATTTCAGTAATTCCATTCAAAAAGAGAAACTTGATAATGTATACATTCATTCCACACAGACTGATATTTCAAGTGTTCATTCCTTTTAATTTTGATGATTCTAACTGACAACTAATGAAAATCCCAAAATCAGTATCTCAGAAAATTAGAATATTGTGAAAAGGTTCAATATTGAAGACACCTGGTGCCACACTCTAATCAGCTAATTAACTCAAAACATGATTCCCAGACACCTGGTTAGGTTTGGTCTCCCGATTTAGGTTATGGTGTTTATGGTGGAGGTTGGAGGAAGTATGCTGATTAACCACAATATTCATCAGTGACCGTGATTATTGACTTGGCTTTTCATCTATACGTGCTTTAAAATTGTGAGTTTGGCAGCTGAACTTTTAAAACTAAATTCCTGAGGATTGAAGAGTGATGTCTGGCCTACTCATAAAATACACCAACCTCAGCAATACCGAATCTCATTCCAAACTGTATTGAAAAGTTGGCAGCTCTAATGTAGTAATGATCAGATCCAACACACGGTGACACTGACTGTAATTTTTCAGGTAATTACTCAGGAAAAGTACTACCATCTTACTAGTGGCATAGATCTATGAAGCATCTGTATGTCATGTATATACTGTGAGTGTGCACAGACTAGGTTAGGTACTGCAGTGGCATACATACAAAGAGCTGGTAGCTGAAGGTGAGCAGCAGTTGGACACTGTACACCTGTTCCTCAGGTTTAGAGGTAGCTGCAGTTGAAAATTCAGAAGATCCAACTTCCCGTCCTGGTTCTGGTCTTCTTCTTCTCACCTGTAGAGTGTATTCACCCACAGCCATTGCATTTTTTTGACATCGTTAAAACTCTAATGTGATTATGAATTAAATGCAGGCAAACCCACAAGGCCCCCACAAGCCACAGGGGACAATGGTATACATTTGAGGGAACTGTGGTAATCTCTTACAGAAACAGCAGGGATCCGGAGGTTGGCCCCAAGCATGTTGTTAAGATGGGGAAAGGTGCTCCAGGCCACATAGTCTCCCTGAGTACTGGTTGCTGCCACCAGCAGAGTCTGGTACTGGAACCTCACAACCGGTTGTTCCTCATAAGTGCTTCTTTTGATCCAGAAACCTAAATGTGAAAATAGAAAACATGGCTTTAAACATCGAGCATGCATTTCTACTTGTTTAACAAAAGCGTTGAAATATCGGTGTATTTAAACTCAACATTTAGCAATCACGACAGAAGCAGTGACCATAATAGTTGAGCGTTTGACATCACAGCTGTGTACCTTGGCTCCTGTAAGCAACCAGCAGAGGTGGGATGTAGGTGAGGCAGAGAACAACAACCAGAAACAGAGTGGCTTTTGTGCAAACACTCGTTTTGTACCGAATCAAAGCCGGATGAGAATACACTTCATAGAAAGCCATAGGTAACGCAATAAATAGTGTTCGTAACCGCCAGTGTTGTGTATCAAGTCAGCCGGCTAGCCTGTTAATGCTCAAGCTAACATAACGTTAGCTGCTAACTGAGTGGATAAGCCCGGAGGACTAACGCGAGTGAAACTATCACAGACAACAAACACAGCTATTAACCGTCGTTAAGTAATATCCATCCAACAGCCTTCGAAATGCAGTCGTCTTTCAAGGCGCATTAATAAGCTATTTACGTTAGCACCCTAGCTTATGTAGAACCACGCACCGCGCCATGTTTAGCTTAGCTTAGCGTCTCACGGTTACCATGGCTGCCAGTAGTAGCAATCATGCTGCATTCAAGCAATGTTGGTCCAGTCGTGGGAACAATGTGAACCGTAAATTAGCTACTTTTGCGGCGTATTTGGATTCCTCAACAAGTGAATCCAGACCCAATCGAACTGTGTTAGTCCTTAATAAGCTGAATTGATTGTATGACTGTAAATATATGATTTTATTTATATGTAATTAACAGCAATGATGGCTTTACAGCCATTTTGCTTTGTTAACACTATGTGGAAGCAGTGGCGCACAAACATCTGGGGTCCCTACATATGCACCCTCAGCAGTCCCCCACCCCCCTTTAATATTACCATTGTCACACCTATACAAATATATAATTACTATGCAGCATTTCATCCAAACAAATAAGACATTCCTTGAATCACACTTTATTTGCAGAATTACAATTTACAATTGATTTCCAACAAGTGTGCCCAATATGTTGAAACAACTAGCATTATAAAAATATATATAAACCTAAAGGCACAATCTATATACAACAATGGTAGCCCATCCATCCATCCATCCATCGTCAACTGTTTATCCTGTGTACAGGGTCGCAGGGAACAATGGTAGCCCCAATAATAAAACTGAAATCACAGATTAGAACCTGCTATCACTCTCAAACTGATGACTGGTCTCAATACAGAGAGTAATGTTGCATGAGAATGTTGATTTACAGGAGAAACATATATAAAAGCAATACAGAATGCCCAAAAGCCTTAGTGCATTATTTAGATTATTATTTGAATTGTCAGCTGGCACCTGAATTTTTGTCTAAAATATAACAAAAATATTCTTCTACTTCCTTTTAATTGGCTGATGTACTACTCACTGTGAAACTTTGACTGGGAAAATGGAAATATAGAAATATATATAAAAAATATATATTTTATATATATATATAGTATATTCTGTTCTGCTTGTCTGATTTTAGCAGGAAATCAAACCTGGTGACAGGCATTTAGAATAATTATATAGAAACAATTTTCTCGTTGACCATTTGCTTATGTAGGTCATATGGAGGCATCAATATTAAATTGAGACCGTTTTCTAACAAGTTAAAAGCTTCTCTTTAACTTTAACTGACTAGTATTTCTGGTGCTGACTAAGAATGTGTAGCAACGTTTAATCGACTGGTCGACTAATCCCCACATCCTTTTATAGATGTTAAAACGAGACTGTAATTGCAGTTCTATGAATTCTGGATGACAGTCAGGTATTATAAATAGACATTAAACTATCTGAAACGGCTGAAATGCATCTGTAAGCCATCAGGAGAGGTAGAGGAACATTGGAAAATGATCAATTCAATTCAGTTTTTTTATATAGCGCCAAATCACAACAACAGTTATCTCAGAGCACTTTTCATAAAAGAGCAGGTCTAGACCATACTCTGTTATGATATTTACAGAACCCAACAGTTCCCACCAAGAGCAGCACTAGGCGACAGAGGCAAGGAAAACTTCCTTTTAAGAGGCAGAAACCTCGAGCAGAACCATGGCTCAGGGTGGGCGGCCATCTGCCTCGACCATTTGGGGGTGAGAGAGAGAGAGAGAGAGAGAGAGATGGAAGGAGAGAGAGGGGGAGGGAGGCAGCCTACACATACACACACAGAGGTACAGACAGTAAAGGTGATGTTGCTATAGACTAAATGAAAAATGGCACAGATATGTATAGTAGTGTTAATGATAATAATCGTAATGTTAATGATTTTAATTACAATAATAGCAATAGGACTAGTAACAATAATTGTAGCAGAGGGTGTTGAGCAGGAACCTGGCGACCAGGTCTGTCGCACAAGGATGACAACAGAATGAATATGTAACTGCGTGACTGTATAATTAACCCACATTTTAATCGCCGTCTTCACGATGGGCTAATCGCGTTCTTTTCAAATTTCAATTTCGATTTGAAAACAATTAATCGTTCAGCCCTACCTGCATGTGTGCTGACTCAGCAGGGATGATATTGAGAAAAGATGATCTACAGGAGAAACAGATCTGAAAGCAACACAGAATACCCGAGAGCCTTTTTGTCTTATTTTCCATTATATGTTTTATCTATAATGGGAACGCAGGAACACGGGGGCAGCAGGTTACTCGCAACCACAGATCCAGACTCCACAGCTCCAGAGCCAGAAACACCTGCAGGAAGTGATGGGAAGAGAGAGGAGAGGGATGAGAAAGCACAAAACTACCGGAAAGGGGAGAAGTCGAGTTAGTAACATGCATTAATGAGGTTGCATACAAAGGGAGAGAAAGAAGAGGAGAGAGGAGCTCAGTGCATCATGGGAAATCCCCAGGCAGTCTAGGCCTATAGCAGCATAACTAAGGGATGGTTCAGGACTCACCTGAGCCAGCCCTAACTATAAGCTTAATCAAAGAGGAAAGTCTTAAGCCTACTCTTAAATGTGGAGATGGTGTCTGCCTCCTGAACCCAAACTGGAACCTGGTTCCACAGGAGAGGAGCTTGATAGCTGAAAGCTCTGGCTCCTAGTCTACAATCAGACAGCAGTGATTTGCGGGACGGACAGGTGATTCACCCAACCCTCACCACACTTTATATAAACAAGATTAATGAGCAATATTTATAACAATAACTTTAGTAAAATAGCCAGAGTCAGGATGCCATGTGCCATTGTGCCACTATGTGCCCCTTCCAGCCGAACTCCTCCTAAGAGCAACTTGTTCCCCTTGTTCTGTTTTATATCTAAATCTGCATTTCTCCACTGCAGAGGCACTATCCACAGCATTGAGGAGTAAATATTAGTATAATATTATTTAATTTAAATATAACATTAAATAAAAAGTATAATGTTAATTTAATAGTATACTGTTGTGTATGTGATGTGAACAAAGTTTGTCCACTTCAAATATCTTCCTATTGGAACTAGTGTATGACAAGTGGACAGGGGTCATATCCCCCTGTTGTTAATGATTTGGGAGTAATATGTTGGTCTCTGGGGCTGTGTGTCACTCTTGCCAAATATCAGAATAGCAGGAAATCTGCCATGTGGAATACCTTTCAAATAGTGTAGTAACGCTTCCCAAATGTCAGAATGACACGTACCAGGCCTGGTTCCTGGAGGAAAACGCAGAGTACCACCCATTCCAAGTGACTCAGGGGGGCCTGAAACACCTCCCACAGAATGTGCTGTTACACATGGCCTGGGTTCAGCCAAAATAACAGGCTGTGACATGGGTCTACAATAGCAGTACCTTTGCACTTTGCGCTCTCTTGTCCAATGGAAATACCTTACAAAGTGTGTAAGTGACAACACAACCTCTTTGTGTCTACCCATGTGATTTGTTACAAGCACATTTGTCTACTTTGTTTCTCATTTGCCTGTCTGTGTTTGATACCAGAGCTAATCAGTCCCTCCAGGCAGCTGAGACAGAGAGAGAGAGCATTTCTGATATTTCCTCTTTTCAGCAATGAAAAAAACCCATTACCAATTCATTTTAAAAAACATTATTTTTGACTGAAAAAGGGATGATTAAATGTAGATATCAGTATTTCAGTATTCATATTTATTAACTAACTGTATGTTTTGTATATGTAGTGTTAATTTGCAACGACACTGGTAAAGAAATTCAGCATCCTTAGAAACTGGCGAAAAACCTAGTGTATGACTTCCTATGTTTACTGTTGTTATTGTGGCAGAAGACGTCCTTTTCCAGGGCCTTTTCTGATTCAGTATTGTAAATTTTAAGAGTTAGGAAATAACTGACGCAAATGTTTCAACCGCAACATTTACATTTACATGTTCCCAGGGCCGCCCACAAGGGGGGAAAAGGGGAAAGCATTCTGGGGCCCAGCTGCTAGGGGGCCCATGTAGTCCAGCACTAGTGATGTTCATTGTAAATATGAGCAAAGATAACCAAATTTTATTTTGAACCAAAAAACTCACCATTACTTATTAAAATAAATGTAATGTTGTTTTAGTAAAATATAGCCTGTTTCATAATGAAAACATGTTGTTGCATGCAAGTCAGAACATCAGAAGTACACCACATGCGCAGGCCATCTATGTGTTTATGTAGAAGAGAGAGAGAGAGAGAGAGAGAGCACAGCATGCATTGACATGAGTAAAGCAGATTTGCAGAGGGCCCATTTGCTGGACCTTTTCAGGGGCCCAGTCATTTCTGTGGGCAGGCCTGCATGTTCCCTTCAGACACTCCTTTCAGTTCCTACATGTGGTACAATCTTTGCTTTTGCCTGGAATTGTTGTTAAATGCACATTGCAATGAAATAACTTTTAATGTGCGCAGTAAAATTGATTATAATATTACTAAAACAGTTTTGCTATATAATTCTATAAATGATTTCATTCTGTATCCAAAATAAATGCCTTAGCAATCCCCTGCATGTACTAGTCTGCATTGTTTTTTAAAGGACTGAATTCGTGGACGGACTGATTCTGTCCGACAGCACCTGAAGGTAGCATCACCACCACCACCTTTCTGTCAGACAGTGACGTCACCTCACATCCAGAAGGACAGTTGGGAGCTTCGGGCAGAGAGACATTGTTGACGTTTTGTTTTGATCGCTTTTGCCTGGACTTTTGGACAGTACGCTGACATTATCCGCTGATTTCGAAGCCCACCTTTCAGCGCTACCATCACGCCACAGAGCGGGGATCCAGCAAAGATGAAATGGATGTTTAAAGAGGACCATTCCCTCGGTAAAGGGATTTGGATTGTTATGAAACCAGAGATGTTAATAGTGTCATGCACCCTCCTTTCTGTTTAGCTGTCTCCGCGTCGATTTTGCCATATCATCCCACACAGGTGCATGCTTGCTTGCCACGGCGCCCTGTAAATTACAATTACATCAATCCATCATGGCTAACCTTGCAGGACTAGCAACAAATGCTAACGTGTTCTTCCTACATGTCAAATGGCCAAAACCGGGTTCATCTTCTACATTGCTGATCCATCAAATTAGTCAGCTGGTTTCTCCCTGGCACGTGTCTGTTTTGCATGGAGACATTTCATCGCCAAATTCCATTTAAGTATCTGACAATTTAATGTTGCCTTGCTTATATTAAATTCTTGGTAGAAAACCATTGGTAGAAAATGCCTTCAGACGTGTCAGAAATTCGTTAAGCGTGGTAGTTAATTCTGCACAAAAACACCACCAAGAAGCACTTTCTGTCAGTAGGAGGCCTACCTAAACTTTTTGTATTGCTTCACAGTGCTTGGTAGGCTACTGCCTTCCAGGGTTTATTTTGCTGGCAAAGGGAAGTGATAATTTCATGCAAAACAATAAAAACAGCAGCAGGAAATTTGATTTGAAAAACTAATCAGTGTGTTTTGCATAGATGCCGAGTGTTTCATTAGTATTTGTTCTTGAACTTGTATCTTGTTCCTCTAATGTGAACATTTTAAGCTCTCTGGAGGAGTATTTATTTAAAAGATGGTGTAAAGTTGTTTCCATGCCCAGATAGCTGGGGCAGGTTGTTTTGCAGCTCTATGAGTGCAATTTCAGCCACTCAGCTCCTCTCAGCTTCTGTGTTCATATTCTCTTCAGATAATCTCAAGTGTTCTTTTTAAAGAAAGGCTGCTGCGGGATTATTAGAGATGTTTCCAAAAGTAGGCCTCTTATCTGGGCTAATGAATGCATGCGACATGTTGAACTTAAATGGATCCGCAACATCATTATCACCCATCACCTTCCCCTCCCCCCTCTGGCTTCTGTTCAGTGTCTGCCTGCCGCATCTGGTCCTGCCCACAAAGCATACTGGAAATAGACCCATTATGACTTGGTCTGTGATAATGATAAGTACTTAAATGTTTAGTATCACTTAATAAAGACAATTGATGTGATTCATTACTTAAACTTAACAGTAATGACTATTCGTTGAGGACAAAAATTGAACTAAAATCCTCGCACTTTGACTTGTCCACTGCCAGCTTTGATGCTGAACACTATATCGGACAAGGTTGGCTGTATTTGGCAGTGAGGCATGAGAGGAGGTTCCCAAGAGGCTTCACTTATCCCTTTAATCTCTGACTTCCTGTTTGTTTCCTGTCTCTCCCCCAGAGCACCGATGTGTGGAGTCAGCCAAAATACGCAACAAATACCCTGACAGAGTACCGGTGAGTGAGGGGGAGGTGGTGTTTCTTTGCAGTGGAATGGGCATTAAAGGTACAGATAAAGTGAGGGACTGAAAGTCAAGAGATAAGCAGTGAGTGCGAAAGAAAGAAGAGAATGAGTGACGTAGAAGTGATTTGGATGCAGCTCCGAGAACCAGAGTTCCAGCTGTGACCCCAATGAAAAATCCCACTTTTCCATAACTTTCCTTAACTGAGTCTGAGTCCCTCCATGGCTTACAGAGTTTCTCCTGTCTGCTTTGGTAATCTCTTGAAAACCATCTATGAAGATACCTCAATGTATACCACAAAGTGACCTATTAGTACAGTTCCCTGATGTTCACTGACTATATGTTAACAAAGCTATACAGGATGTGACCCACACCCCCAGTGCCACTGCTACTAGTAATTACAGTGGTGTGGGTTATTGGCCCTCAGGTTTGATTCAGCAGGTAGTGGCCAGTCTATCCTTGCTCTCCTCCGCTGATACACGCTGTATGGGGTACACCCACATATTTTCAATGTTCTTTTTGCAATAGAACATTGAAAATATTTTGGATAAAACAAAGGTTTTCTACTTTGTGACAATGCTTCTAAACATGGGTTTGAACAAGGCATATCCACGTCAAGTTTTTTTAAGATAAGTAACTTAAATGTATTCTTTATAAATTGAGTATTTACTATCTATATTTTGTTTGGTGTATGTTTATCACTAAATAATGCACTAGTCTACATACTGTATTCATACCATACTGCCTTAGTCATAGCCCGTACATAGACTGTACATACCTGTAGCAATAGACATTCATGAAGACACATATTTATATTATATATCATTCATAGGGCTGGGTGATAAAACGATAATTCACTTTACTAGAGAAAGAGATTTACTAATCATATTTTTAGAAAAAAGTTTATCATAATAGTTTTGAATGTTCTACCTCAGATCAGTGATCCACAGTTTGGTATTAAGTGTTTGTCATGTTGAGACCATAAAGTATAGTTTAACCACACAATTAACCATCTGGCCCTTCAATTTTCATTCAGGGGCAAAAATCGCCACCTTTAAACTTGAAAGAAATAACGATTTGACATTTATCATGATAATTATCGATATTGAATGATATGAAATGTTTTTATCTTGATAACATTTTGGCCATATTGCCCATCCCAATCATTCATACCTTACACTTTTTATAATAATGTATGATATTTTATTTAATTACCACTTAAGCACTTCTGGCTAGATGCTAACAGCATTTTGTTGCTTTGTACCTAGTGACATGCGCAATGACAACAAAGTTGAATCCAAATGTAATCTAATATTCCACTGTAATAGGACACAGACACAATAATAAGAGCTTGTTAGCTAGAGTTAGCTTGCAAGCTAGCACTTTTGTTTTCCATCAACAACTTTAATGAGCTTGTGATAAGGATACTTTTGGCCATGTTCAAACCAAATATGTGCTCATTTCATCTAATCATTTATTTATATGAAAAATATTTTCCTGAATTGTGGCTCTAAACTTGGTCCGAATGTTGTTACGTAGCTTTTGTCATGCTGTCAAACATACTGTATACAAGAGAAACATCAAACTATTTTTATTTTGGAAAATAAAAATAACACAGTGTAATACAAATATCAGAACTAATGTATCAAGTATAAGCAAAAACTCACAGTTGCTTGCAACTGTTGATATGTGATGACACATCTCACACTGGCTATCAAAGCACACCCCGCTGTAAACATGTCTGAAAAACCTGTGAATTAACCTTTGCTAGTGCTGTCAGGAAGGGAATATAACAGCGCTGAAAACTGACACCTCAGGTCAGAGCGCATACAGGGGGACATTGTGGAAAACCTGCCTGGCCCTATATGCATACCAAGAGCCTTTTGTGTGGATGATAATCCCTGTTAAACTCAATCTTTTAATTAGCTCTTTCATTCTTCACCTGCTTAATGGGAGGACTGCTGGGAGAACAGGACACACAGTCAGTGAACACAAAAACTTTCTCCCATTGTTTGGGCTCATTCCATTGTTAGATTTTATATAACACAATGGGTTCAACACTGGACAGGATTGTAAACACGAGCATGGTAGAACTGCGCAACGGATAAAGTAACTGAAATGCAAAAGTAATGCGCATAGTGACAAACCCACAGACAATTATCACCCAAGTGTGCCGTTTCCCTCACTATGCAAAGGTTTTAGTGTCTTTCAGCTCATTGATTTGGTTTTACGACTAGCAACTGTCCTGTTTTGATTCAGTCATTGCACTGTATTTTTCTGTCACAGCAAGCAGTTTTCAGTAAAAATGCTCTTGCACATACCCACTGCCCAGCACCAAATGCCTGATAGACACAGACAAAGGAACCAACTAGCTGGTAAAACTTAGTGGAGCATTTAGCAGCTGATATTTCCCTCAGGGCTTGTCGGAAACCAAACCAGACCTAAAATGAGAGGGAAAGTGCTTACATTTGTCAGGTGGCAGAAACACGACAAATAAATAATAATGTTTGGGAAATCCTCAAATGGTAATGCTAATAATTGAGCTTTAAGCATTCCTGACATTTCATGACAACTGCACATAAACAAGGTCCCTGCAGTGGCCATTATAGGACATGTAGGCTTGTCAGGCTCAGTGCATACACTTACTGTGTATGCTACCGCAATTTTATCAGCTAGAGCAACCATTAGACACATGTCATAAGAACAGGACTCACTCCGGACACAGTTGTAAGCCTGACATGGTTTACTTCATTGCGTTCAGCTGAGTCTGACAAACTGATATCACATCCTATAATAGCAGTAAAGTTTCTGTTACAGCAGTGAACTCACATTCACATTTTTTCTGTTAAATTTTGTGCTCCAGGTGATAGTGGAGAAGGTTTCTGGCTCTCAGATAGTGGACATTGATAAGAGGAAGTACCTGGTGCCCTCTGACATCACAGTGGCCCAGTTCATGTGGATTATCAGGAAACGTATCCAGCTGCCTTCAGAGAAAGCCATCTTCCTCTTTGTCGACAAAACAGTCCCCCAATCCAGGTGAGAGCAACACTACATTCTGCAGTTGTAATAATGGAAGGAAGTTGCAGTAAGACATTGAAATCTTAGCTAAATGAAAGACAGAATTGTTTACTGTTATATATCATGTATCTATGTCATTGGTGGTGTGAAGCACTGAAGCAGATTTCTCCCCCAAAAGGTGACCAGGTGGCACACAATGGTATTATGGTGGTATTGTGCTTCTTGGCTTTTTCCCATTTTCCTTTTTTGTGCATGTAATAGGTTTGCAAAGTGAAAAAGCCCAAAGTCCACCCCAAACGGAGTTCCCATCTCCCACGGAAACTCTGCTCTGAACTGCCTAAAAACAGCTCGTTTGTAGTTCAGCCATTTCCCTTTCATCCCTGTGACGACACAGGGATGAAAGCTAAATGCGCCTCATATAACGCTCGCCAAGCGGCTAGTCCGATATGCCCTCAAAAACACAGGTGGTTTCTGATTGGCTAGTAGTCCTTAACTAGGAAGTGCGCATGTGCAACACCCAACAAAGATCATGTAGAGGCAAGATGTATCACTCCATAGCTAAAATGAAGCCTTTAACACACTGGGAGAAAAGAGGAGCTGCAGCAATGTGCAGTCTAACAAAAAATATGGTGTTTTTTTGAAAATTAAACCATGTAAACCTGTTCTGGTACAACCCCTAAATAGGATTTTGAACCTGAAAATAAGCATAATACCACCTCTTTAAATCTATTGCAGAGGCCACTAGAAGCTGTGGTCAGTTTTTAGAATCAATATTGAGAGAATTTATTGATGATGAACTGCTATTTGTAGCAGTTTTAAAACTGCAGAAAAAAAGGTTAGCGTAATTCTGTAATTTTTTGCCAAAAATCTTTATGATGAGTACTTCATCCTCAGCACTGCTCTACTGAATTTATTTTATTTCCATTTACCATTTTTAGAATTGATTTTATATTACTGTATATTGTCAGCTATGTAGCAGAAGGGAGGTACAAACTCAAAAAAGAAAGCCTATGACTCAAAGCCACATATATGGATACCTGAATGCTTGGAAATCAACAGGACACTAATAGCCTTCATCAAGAACTCAATGGGGCTGTGGAAAACAAGTCTGGAAGCCAACTCAAAACCAATTGCACAAGTCACCATCAAGTGGGGCATATACCAAGGCGATGCACTATCCCTGCTGCTGTTCTGCGTAGGCCTGAACCCCCTCAGCCAGATCATCACAAAAACTGGCTACGGATACCGGTTCTGAAGTTGAACAACCATCAGTCACCTCCTCTACATGGATGACATCAAGCTGTATACCAGAAATGAGCGAGACATCGACTCACTGATCCACACTACCAGGACCTACAGCAACGACATTGGAATGTCGTTTGGACTGGACGCATGGTATCAAAAAGAGGGAAGATGATCAGAACCAAGGGGATTGAACTACCAGAAGGCCACATTGCAGATGTTCAGGACAGCTACAAAATACCATGGGGTGCCGCAGGCTAATGGAAACCATGAGGAGGCAGCAAGGAAGTCCGCCACAGCCAAATACCTACAGAGAGTAAGGCAGGTCGTGAAAAGTCAGCTGAATGGGGAAGAACAACATCCGAGCCATCAACACATACACGTCAGTCATCAGATACCCCGCTGGTATAATAAACTGGCCAAAGGAGGAAATAGAGGCCACTGACATCAAGACGAGAAAGCTCCTCACAATGCATGGAGGGTTTCGCCCCAAATCCAGCACCCTAAGACTGTACACCAAGCGTAGCGAGGGAGGCCGAGGGCTAGTGAGTGTCAAGACCACTGTCCAGGATGAAACGACAAAGATCCAGGAGTACATCAGGAAGATGGCCCCGAAAGATGAAGGGCTTAGTGAATACCTCAGGCAGCAGAAACCCGAAGGTGAGGACTAGGAAGACAAAGAACCTTCATAGAGAGACAAGCCGCTGCACGGCATGTACCACAGACAAATAGAAGAAGTGGCTGATATCAAGAAATCCTACCAGTGGCTGGAAAAGGCTGGACTGAAGGACAGCACAGAAGCACTAATCATGGCGGCACAAGAACAGGCACTCAGTACAAGATCAATAGAGGCTGGGGTCTACCACACCAGGCAGGACCCCAGGTGCAGACTGTGCAAGGATGCCCCTGAGACAGTACAACACATAACAGCAGGGTGTAAGATGACGGCAGAAAGTGCGTACATGGAACGCCATAACCAGGTAGCTGGCATAGTGTACAGGAACATCTGCAATGATTATGGGCTGGAAGTCCCAAGGTCAAAATGGAAGACACCTCCTAAGGTAGTTGAGAATGACCGAGCTAAGATCCTGTGGGACTTCAAGATCCAGATTGACAAACTGGTGATGGCTAACCAACCAGACATCGTGTTGATCGACCAACAGCAGAAGAAGGCTGCAGTGATGGATGTGGCAATCCCAGGCGACAGCAACATCAAGAAGAAGGAACACGAGAAGCTTGAGAAATACCAAGTGCTGAAAGAGGAGCTAGAAAAGATGTGGAAAATAGGAGCAACAGTGACCTGAGCTTGAGGATGACACATACCACCCCTCAAGGGGTAAGAGGGGGATTTTCAAACAAACGGACAAACAGCGCTGTTTGTCCGTTTTCAGCTACTGTATAAACATGACGATGCAACGTGGCGACGTCCATAGAAGGGGGTGCCCGCGGTTATGTAGATAAAATGGGTCATTCTAAGGTAATAAAAACAATTGCTTATTGCGTAAGGTCTTTACACACCACTGATAACATGGTTATATTGCATTTCTATCAATAGATCCTCAGAAAAATTACGCACTGAACCTTTAAGGATAGAAAAACTATATATACAATAGTAAATATGAAGAATATGCATTAAAGATTAGATGTGGGGAGAAACAATTTTCTATATTCGGGATTCGTTGATTCGTGGCGAGTCAAGAAAGTGTGTGAAAAATATCAATTGTATGACTCATGTTCAATGCTGCTGCTCTCCCAGGCTCTGTTCTGGGAGAGAAAAAAACTGAGCAGGCTTCAATCAGACAACAGAAATGTCACTGATTAAGTCAGGGCATATCTCTCCTATCTTAACCTTATCTGTATGCAGCTTTTCAAGCCTCTGACTTCCTCTTAACCTCTTTCAGAATGCCACCCTTCTCCTTACTAAAGAATGCCATGGCGAACTTACACAGATCTTTTAAAAAAAGAGCTGTCGGCATTTCTGTATTGCAATTTATCATATATGTTCTCAGACAGACATATAAACTGATACCGATATATATCTGCAATAAGCTAAAATTGGCCTGGCTGATTTAACTTGCCTAGCTCTACTTGACAGCGCTCTCTGGGGGCAACCTATGTAATGGTAACACTGTTTCTAAATATTTCAAACATACAGTATATTTAGCATTTCATTTACACTGCTGTTACCAGCTGTATACAGTATATGAGATCAGCTAAAATCATGTAATAATATCTGCCTGGCTGATTTATTGGTCGGGCTGAATGGATGATGCCTAGAGAAACGTGGGAATTGGAAATAACATGAATAATGAATTCTTTATTGTATGTTCAATAACGAGGACAATACAACCCTTTTTATAACGTCTTTCAGGTCTACAGGGAGAAAGTGTTTGGAAATTCAAAAGAGCCATTCTGGGTGGACGCCGCCTTTTGTACATTTGTTTTCGTATCTGCAGCATTTTTGTAATTGGAATGCATTATTCCTAAATGTTTGTGCTTTTGCTCTTGTATGTGTTTCTGTCCTTTGGGATCACTGTAGGCTTTTGAACTGATTTCAAAATTCTGTCGATCAGCACAAAATAACCACTATTAGAGGCTTTAGTCTGCACAAACCCAAATTACAGATGTAATATAATTGATTCTAAAGTCTGGTTTCTGCTGTGTTTTGCAGTCTGACTATGGGCCAGCTGTACGACAAGGAGAAGGACGAGGACGGCTTTCTGTACGTGGCCTACAGCGGAGAAAACACCTTTGGTTACAAGGCCTTTTATACAACACGGGGTTAACACTTCACTGAAAACCAGTGTCACACACACACACACACACACACACACACACACACACACACACACACACACACAGTAGGACCCAACAAATACTGGTGCACATTGGCCTTTACATGTGTTACTCAAGTAATGCATCTACACACTTTGCGCAGTCATTTATGGTCTTTTTGATACAAAAAAAATACACATTCATGGTGAAAATTAACTACACCAAAATACTACAATAAACAAACTTGTTGGTCTTTTTGTCATGATTACTGTTTAAAGGTCAGTTGTGGAGAGAAATATCTTTAACACTGCCGTAAGAATAACAATTGCCACACATTACACGCACGTCAGATATCATTAATTTTCCAGGTATCGACATCAGTATTAGATTTAAAAAAGAAATAAAAACTCCTTTAGGCTCTGACACACACACACACACACACACACACGTCCATCATCACACATCATTTTCTTTCAATCCAGCTTTGTTGTCACAGATATTTGTGTTCGGCTGGAGTGAGAAAGAAACCCAATAATCATGTGACTAGAATCATTAACCACAATATGGATGTATTTGTATGGCTCATAATATTCTTTATGTAACTTTAACTCCACAGGTACACTCAGCACTATGATAGGCTATGAGAATGACTATAAGCATTTGAAAGATGGCAGCTCATGCTGTTTGCAATGGTGAATGATCCCTGTAAGCTGTTAGGAGGCAGCCAGTGTAAGGTGTGTCCAGCTCTCGGCCTGGGACCAACACCAGTCCCTGGGGTGTTCCTGAGTGCTTCCCTGCCTGGCTATTATGTATTTGCACTTTATGTTGGCTGAATAGTCAAGCTGGATTCCGACTCATGATGCCAACAGCAAGTCATGTAACCTCAGTGAACTGCTAAAGAAATCCAACACTTTACTTGAAGTTTATTGTGTCAAACTGTGATATACAGTATGTTTATGTTGTCATCACAGAGCAACAATCTGAAAATTGCCATCACTTAGCAGAAAACTCACCCTGTTACTCTTCTTATATTATCAGTCTGTGACGCAGTGATGAAGTGTTGCACTTAATCTTCTCTCCCTCAGCCTGAGTCATCTTCATCTGCATCAGTTAGTAGTTTCCTCCACTCCCCAGAATGCCTTTCATTGTTTTGGTCTTCTGCTCTGCAATCCCAGCTGTTATCAGAAAGGTTCAGATAAACCCACTGAACACTACCTGCTCAGAGACACAGAGACTAGAGACCACAGTGCGAGTAACTTATAAGCCATGTTGTGTTTTGTGTAAAAGGCATGCCATAATGATCATGAACTGAGTGGCTAACACGCTACAAGCATTAACTTACATGTCCTTTCTCTGGAGTTTGTTTTTAAAGGCATTCTGGAAAATGTAAGAAATCGTTGCAGCAACAGTATAGGAAGCAGGTCATATAATAACTTTGTATGTAGCATTGGAAGAGGATCTAAACCAGGATTCTCCCCTTTAAGACTCACTACTCACCAAACTTTTTACTCAGTGCTGTGAATACAAACAAGGTGGCGACTGCATTGCCTTTAGCTATAGTTTCAAACTTGTCCAGCTTGTAGAACTGCTCTAAGATCAAGTTCAGTTTGTCGTTATGGACAACTCCTAATACACTGTGAGCCATCAGAACGTTACAAACGGGTACATATTAATAGCATTATGTCATGCATTCATTTTCCTCATGTTCCTGGAATGAGTGTCATGAGATTGTTAGTATTTGATGCTGTCGATTATATCTTGTTCAAATTTTATTGATTAAAATACACAAAAGCTTTAATAGGAATACATGTGAAATTGCTTACAGTGAAACCTGTGTTTATGAGGACCATAAACTAAGAATATACAGCACTGTTATTTACTTTATTACATCGCTAATACTTCAAGTAAAGAGTTGCTCAGGTCTTTGGCTGCACATGGAAATCGGAACCACTTGGACATTTTGGCTGCAGTTGTAGTTTTCAGGCTTGTAGACATGGTATGTAAATGTGTAATATATTGATGGAATGCTATGATATTCGGTATTGCTTTCTTTCATCCGTCTTGTATGATTGTTAAATATATCTTAAAGACACACATTTTAGATATTTGAAAAAGGGAAGGTAGCTGGAAGACCTGACCAATAAAGATGAATGTAAAATGGGTCGTAAGGTGTGGTCTTATTTAAAAGAAATGCAATTAATGTCAGTACACCACACGCATTTAGCATGTAACGAGAGATAAATTAGCAGTCAACACAGGATTAGAACTTGGAAAATGTGCTTTCGTTTCACTGTGATGAACAACATTGGATATTTACATATACGCACATTTTAGATATTTTCTTACTATTGCAGGTCACCTGACTGCCAACTCTAGATTAGCTAGAGTACATTCTATAAAAAAGTGGGTCTTGATATGCCGATCTCTGATTGACTGCTGAACTTGATGAATAAGACCTGATAAGAGCTAAAAGTAACACAGCTTTAATTAAGGTTTTGGTTTTCTGCCGTGAATATAAATGCTACATTATTTTGACCAAAGTCTAGAATTATCCACTTAAATGGGCACTCCGGTGAAATCTTGCACTTCTGTACAGCAGAAGCTGATCTAGCCTCACTTTTAGTCCCTTGTATGGGTCAAACACCACAAACACTGATCCTACATTTCCCATAATGCATCTATGTAGCATCACTCCTTGCCTGATAAACACGCTAAACTAAGATGGTAACAATGGTAAACGTTGTACTTGCCAAACATCATCACAGAGCTGCTAGTGTTGCTGTAGGCTACATAGTCTTGTTTAGACTTTGGTAAGCTTCCTCCTGAGCCACAGACATTATCCAGTACAAGTGTTGTCACAAGCTGAGGCGGACGTGATGACTAAACTGATCTGGATGTGTAAATCTCTGTAGGTCTCTTCAACACACAAAAATAATGTGAACATAAAAAGGTTTGCGTCATTTTCTTATTTAGGGTGAAAAAACATTCAAATGATTTGAGATACATTAATAAGTATCACAAGGTATTTGCAGTAAATGTATGCGTACAGTACAAGGAACACTTAAGCTACTTAAAACAAGACCTGAACCTCTAAAAAACTATGTACTGCAGAGGAATGAGAATGACATTAAAAAGAGTGAAAAGCTTAGATGAAGGACCTAACTGTTGTGCAGAAATATCTCATGTTCCACCTGCCTGTGTTTTCAGAGCACGAACTCCACGCAGCTGCAGACACAACATGTTACAACCACTGTGAAAATAAAACGTTCATCTGAGGACTGAAGAGCGGTCATCGACCTCTCTGAACCGCATGACAGAGCTTGGTGTCCTGCTGTTGCAAACAGAGACATCCTGGGCTATGTAGCCAAACAATATGCATCCATATTGATCAGCTGACCCAACAGGCATTGGGAAATGAACACTGGAGATCTGGAGACCTTTTATTAGAGGTGTGACATGATGATGCAGAATATTTATTATTCAGCAGTATGTTTGTTGTCTTTGGTTTGAAATGTGAGTTTCACAAGCCGTTCCACCCTGATGAAGAGTCAAACTCTGGGAGAGAAACAATAGATGCAGACCTGCAGTTATTTTTGACCTGTGTCCTCCTAGTTCTTGACACGACGGAGCCAAATTTCTGCTTCAGAGTGAGGTTTCAGAGAGAGTGGACTTTCAGTGGAAGAGGAGAAGATCTCTGTCACTGCGTGGCCACAGAGGGAAAGCCTGGCTGTGTAGCTGCTGCCAGGCCTGCTGGTACAACTGAGAATCCTGCTTGTAGTCCCAGTAGGTCTGCAGCTCTGTTCTCCTGAACAGACACAAATAATAAAGAGCAGGAGCCCAGTTATTGCTCACACTTCCTGTGTTTACACGATCATTTAAATAAACGTTCCTGCTTAAAAAAGCTTAAAACACAAGTCATGTGTGTTATATATGAGGTTATTACACTTCAGAATCATCAATACAGGATATTGCACTTCCTATATTTATTGCACAAGGCTTAAAAGTATGTATTTGTTTAGTTTTCACTCTAAAATGATCAAATTCTATCAGTGTGCTCTGAAATGATACAAGTGGTCATTATGCTAGGCAGGAACAATATAGGATGCCTGTTTTTAAAGCCATCGTGGCATAACTTGATCACGCACGAGGCCACTCATTCCTGCTCAGCTTACAGATCTGCCTTCTGAAATACTTTATATTTAACACTATACAACATCTTCGTTTTTTGATTTTGGTTTGCTGTAATAAGGGGATGCAGACACTGACATTAAAGTATACGGCTGGTCATATTCTGTATTTTTCTTATTGTCAACAAAACCCATAAAAAAAGACTAAAACAAGCAAGGAATTGACAGAAAGTATCGACTGTGCAAAGCCTGATATATCTTTTTCCTCTGTACTATAGACAGTTATTTAATTTATTCATTCAGCTGACGCTTTTATCCAAAGTGACTTACAGTTGCTATAAATGTCAGAGGTCGCACACCTCTGGAACGACGAGGGGTTAAGTGTCTTGCTCAGGGACACACTGGTGGATGCGTCAAAGTGGGGAACTGAACCTGGGTCTCTCACACCAAAGGTGAGCGTCTTATCCACTGCACCATCACCACCCCATGGAACTACTTTTTCCCACCAAAAACTATTAATGTAAAACTAACTTACTAAACTATTAATGAGCTGTTTTACAAAATTACTGGGCCTTTTCAATTAAAAAAACCATTATGCTATTTTCCTCAGCTGTTTTTGTAGACTTTTAAGTTGGGCCCCACAGATAGGTTAGGGAAGTCAGAAAGTATTGAGCGACGGATTAACACGGTGTTGTTTTGGTTTTGGTCTTTTAATGCTGACAATCAAATATAAAAATATTGCCACATATTTGTGCAATTTGAGGAAACTATGTGTATTTGGTTGCAGACTTTGTTTTCTGAGCTAACAGCGAATCGTTACAAACAAGCTCCAATGAGAGCTCTCTGCTCTCTGTCTGTTAGCTGAGTTTGCAACACATCTGAAAATGTGGCAAATTCTTGTAAACTCAGCCGCTGGCTGAGAGAAGTGATACCTGCAGGCAGTGTATAACTGCAGCAGAGGGAGGAGGAGGAAGACAGGAGGAAGGACTGATACTGACTGATGTCTGAGTTCTTCATTCTTTCTAAACTTCACCCAGTATTTTCATGTTAGGAATGTGATTTTACTGACATTTTAGTTTCCAGTGAGATCTCATTGAGTGTATATGGTGACTTAGCTGTTGTAAACTTTACTATTGCTGCTGTAGAAACATTATTACGTTATTAAAATACTCAAGTCTAATCTTGTTCTGAAATTATTATTTTTTAAATAATATATTTTTTAAAAAGGCAATTATTTAGTAAGGAAAAAGAACTGCTATAAGAGTAGTAGAATCGATAAAATCCCAACCGTAGCCATCCCTTCTTGTCTCTCCTCACCAGACATAACACTGCTGCTGCAGATAATGTTGTCGTTGTATGCAGGGGCTTGGTGTATTGAGAGGGTGTGTGTGTGTTAAGTTCATCCATGTGTGGTTGGTGCTGAACTGGGATGGGATCAGATTATCTGTTAAATGCTGATAAACAGAGAGACCACTGTTCTACCTTTGGAGAGGATTTTCAGCCATCAGCCCGCACGCACAGACACACACAGAAACACACACACACGCACACAGACACACACACACACACACAGAAACACACACACGCACACAGACAAACACACACACAGACGCACGATGCACACGGAAAAACTAACCGATGAAATACGAGCCCCATACAAAGACACGTCAGTGAAATCCACAGCACACACACAGACAACATTTGTTATGTAAACTCAGTATGAACATAATGAAATAAAAGAACATGACTCTGTTTTCACAAATTTTATCAAGACAGAACTGTGACTTAAGACTAGCCTCAGAGCCGCACTTTAAATGAGCTCTCCATATCGGAGCATTAAAACATAAAACTCAACATTTCCCTGAAAGCCCGTTGCACTTTGTCTTTATAATGCTGTTACTCGCCATGACTGCGATACATAAACGCTTTTGTCTGTTGGTAATTTGCCTCACTGTCGATTCGACACGCTTCAGCAGCAGATGAGAAGAGAGTTACCCAAACAGACAAAATGATAAAAGCCAGATCCGTCATTTGGAGATTTTCATTCGTGTTTTGGGTTGTTCAGATTTAGTTTGAGGCTGTTTCAAACCACAGAAAGATTATGAAAGAGCCTATTGTTTGTTACCTGAGAGAGTCTGGAAGTGCTGAAAAGTCAGTGGCCGATACCAGAGACAGGAAGGAATGGAAAAGCTCCAGTTTACACAGAAGAGACCTAACAACACACAAAAACGCATAAATATAGCTGAAAGTTGTTCTAAGTAAACAGTCTATGGTGATAAAATGCAGTAAACGGTGAATTCTCATTTATTCAAATAAATTTTATTTATATAGCCAAATCCTAACATAACATATTCTTTATGTGATACTAATGTATGATGAGTGTATTGGTTCGACCTGGCTTTAGCTGTGCCGAGATCCTTCTTGGTGACGCCATGTTTGTACCCGTTGGCAGTGACATCTAGTGGCTGCTCCGTCACATTACACCAACTGATGGCTGAAACACATGTAGACTGGATTTAGTAGAGAGATGAAACTAAACTTCAAACACTCAATGAGCTCCTAAAATCTCAATATAAATACTTTTTTCTTTTATAGCCCACAAGGCAAAAACTACATTTCCTTGACTGACCACTTAACTCGAGTATATCATAGCTCTGATAGAGCCCCATGTTAAAATGCCCAACTTTACAGCAGAAATTAACACGTTTACTACCTGCTACAAAAGCTGCACGGAAAGGGGAATTTTTATTATTATTATTGCTATTTACTAGTTTGTTGCTTGTGTTTCATTGTAGTTTTAAATACCTCACTTGTGCCTGTTTCTGCAAGGCAAAAATCAAAAAATGTAAAAAATTTAATAAACTCCACCCGCTCCCTGCTGGTAGCCTACATCCTGGTTCCTCTTACAGCTCGACTTCCTCTCCTCACCTCTTGTTGTCACTTGTTTGTCGATCATACAGTCAATCGTGTAGCTCGCGGATGAGCAGAGACTCAGATGTTGACACAAACATGGGCAATAGGAAGCTGCAGTGCTCCCTATTGGTGCTCGGGGCGGCACTTGACGCACATCATATGACGAGCCATTTAGGCTTCAGAGGGTGAAGCCTATACTCAAAGAATTACGGCGCAGCCCTCTAAAGCTGTGGGGCCCTCTGGTTCCTTTAACTAGCTGGAGAAAAAGCAGTTTTGGAAGCCAAATGAGGGCCCCACCTCCGTCACAGCTTGTGTATTAATTTAGCTGAGACTCAAAGTCTTCATTGCTGCAGAGGAAGGGCGTCTATACTCAGAATGTGGAGTTATGGTCTGTAACTAACCTTCACACCTCTTCATTTTGAATGGCCAGTGGGAAAACTCCAACAATGGTGTCACTTTTTAGGGCTGTCGCCAGCTTTGCAGCAGTCCAGCCAAAAACTGACTTGAATTCAGTAGAATGAAATGTCTGGAAACTGACCTCTGTAGAACATGGCGAAAACGCAGCCAGTGCTGGTTTTGATTATCTCTACCTTCCAAATGGGAACGTTTAAGGATGTGGTTTATGACTGCGAGTGTTCACGTCTTCAAACAGCTGGATGATTTCAGTTAAAGTTGTGAGGGTTTTAAAGTCTTTGTGTTAATAAAGTGACACAATATCCAATACATTTATCTTAAATTATCCAGAACAACGGACGTTGGCGGATGTGAGGGGTCCACGTTTGTTTGGTTTTCAGGCACATTATTTAGCACAAAGTCAGTTTTACCTTTCAGAAAGATCTGACTTTCCCCATAACAATTATGATGTCGATGTTGACAATGTCAATGCTGTTTACAGCCGGAAACCGGTAATTACTGACACCTATATGACATGAGTGCGGCATGTCTGGTCATTCAGACCACTGTGTGCGTGCGACAATCCTACCTGCCCCACAGGGGGAGATGCGTCCCTTTCCGGCCTGGTGTCGAAGCTCGGTCTGGGCCTTGCTGAAGGGGAACTCCAGGCTGGACTGGAGCAGCACAGGTGGACGCACAGAGAAACCAGCAGGGAGGTTCGATACATTAGAGCACCTGGGGGGTACAGGAGGACTACATTCAGTAACGTCCGCCAAGTCTGAAAAATACTCCAACACAGTGACAGACGATGTATTCTCACACACTAATGTCAAACAATTAAGTTACAACAGTTACATTTATAGCCTCCTTCTAACTGGACATTGAAAACTCTCAGAAAACCAATATGAGACCTGTGCACCTAAATATAATGTATATAACGTATACCTCTTTACCTTAATATACAAATACAGCCATCATCATGGTCCATCTGTACTTTACAAGCTAAAATGTGCTGTGAAAAAAATCTATCCAAACAAGGAAAAGATCCATTCAGAAGAAATGGAGCAGAATCTTAATCTGACTATACTGAATTCTACAAAATAATAATGAAGACTAATGAGTGTCTGAGTTGTAAGTGCTGACCCTCGTGAGGTGAACAGTGGCGACACATTTAGGGGCCCAGAGCTAATAAAGGGCAGATAAAAATACACAAGGATTGCTTTATTTTAAGCTGCACTAATAGATCTATTTATATGAATACTGGGTCAAATGTCCCTTTGCAATGTTGCTTATAGGAACTCTCCTCATTTCTACGGATCTTTTTTAGCATCATTTAGCTCAGTGTTTTGGTTTTCCGGTCAGAAAAGTCTATTCTAATGTTGCTCTGTGTCTGCAGGATTAGCAACTGTTTACCAACACAGCCACCATGACAACCTTGTTTCAGTGTCTCACAAATATCTATTAATGCAACTTAAATAATGGAGTCTTGAGAGAATTTTCTTTTATGGGGTTCAGAACTTGTAGCTATACCTCTGGTGGTTTCACCAGTATCTAATTAAGAGTTTAACTGTAACAGCAATAAATCATTTGTCTATGTCAAAAAAATAAATAAGAACAGCCATCGCATTTCCCAAAGCCCCAAAGTGTTCAATTTATCCGACCAACTGTGCGAAACCCAAAGATATTTGATATTGATAGATATCTATCAATTGGCTTATTGTTTCAGCATCACTCCACACCTTGTGACCAAAGCTCTCTGCATAACTTCCTGGCTGAATGGGCACTTCCCCACCACCACGGTGCTGAAGTAGAGCGCCTCCTGCAGGTAATGGAACAGCAGTGCGCCCTGGAAGCCCAGCACCCCCCAGCGGGCCAGCTTGTCACTGCAGGAGAGGGACAGAGTGGGCTCTCCTCGCCCAGGCTTCACCCGGAGCACCCCCGTGCTGTGGTACCCCACCCCAGGGCGCAGAGGGTCCGTTGGGCCGCTCGGGACACACTTGGCCCCCGTTCGGTGAATGTCTAGGACCTGAGGATGCACTCCAGCTCTGTCAGAGGGGCCTCTGCTTTTAATCTCCGGCTGTGCTGAATCTTGTGAGAACGTTTCCACGAGTGTGTCTGCGGAGTGACTCTGTGATGGAGCTTCACTTTTGGATGAATTTGAAAGGAAGGATTGTTTTGTGTCTCTTCTGTCCTCTAGCTTTGTCTCTGCTGTCTGCTGTTCCTCCAGACGTGGCAGTTTAGCGTTTTTCCCTTCACTTGTTTCTTGAGCTTTCCTTTTCAGGTCTCCTCCTCCATCTGTCCCTTCACGGCCTTTTACAGATGTGACCGAAGGGCAAGGCTGAGACTGGTCAGTCATGGGAATGATGGAGGCATCGCCACCTGGTAACACACAAGAAGTTCCAGACTGATTCTGGCTTGGGGACAGAGTTCGGCTATAGCTTTGTGAAGGCCGATATCCAACAACTAAGGAATCATGGAAAAAATCATGCACTACTTCAGAGATCATATACCTTAAATAAATATATCTAAATTGCATTTCATAAATACATGACAAAATATATAGCTTGATTGAAGTCCTGTGGATCTGAGATAAGTGCTGAAACAGACAGCCAGCTAGGTACACTGGGAGCATATTGGACTCACAGGGAGTGTGACTGGTAAAGAAGAGGAAGGAAACCCCCGGCTGAAGCCTCCACTTCCCCCGCTGATCTGCCTGACAGAACACAGAGCTGTCCCCACCACTCACAGCCCTGTGCAGCTCCTGGATCAGGTACCTACAAATACACATGCACAAAATAGTAACAGCAAGGCCGGCCGATAATGATTATCTTTAATGGCGATAAATCTGTCAATTATTTTCTCGATTAATGGATTAGTTGTTTGGTCTATAAAATGTCAGAAAATGGTGAGAAATCACTGTTTCCCAAAGACCAAGATGACGTCCTCAAATGTCTTGTTTTGTCCACAACCCAAAGATATTCAGTTTACTGTCATAGAGGAAGGAAGGAAAGTAACCCGATAAAAATCATATTTAAGAAGCGGGAATCAGAGACTTTTTTTCTTTAAAAAAATTTTCAACCACCAATTATCAAACACCTCAATCCAAATACACACCTGACACATCCCCTTCTGGCAATGACTTCTGCATGGCTGTCATTAAGTACATCACCTAAATGGAGGAGAGAATCAACTAAATAAAAACACACTGATGTAAAGGTAGGTTTTTCAAAAAGAAGACAACCATTAATTGATTTAATGATTTTTTTTACACTGGACTTTTACAGGTTGCTTTGGATATCAGTTTTCCCAGACATTTCTTTTCCCAAAAACTTCACTTTTATGGACCATATATGTCACATTTCAGTCAACCCTTACTTTGAACTCTGCACACACTATAGGAACACCAAAATACAAAAAAAGTGGTGGTAAAGCTATTTGGTCGGGCTGGAAAAATAAACACAGAGTATGCAGCAGGTAAAGACAGAAAACACCAATTATGGTAACAAGATCAAGACCACATACCATTGGGACTCATAGCTGTCTGTCCAATACACTTGGTCCCCGTTCCCAGGGACACAACCTCCTTTTCAACTGGAAAGAAAAAGAAATCAATAGATCATGTCATTGATAACATATTTCATCTTTATACTTCCACATTTTCATATACCATGTTATGCTTTTGTGTGTTCGGGTTTGTTTAGGAGTGTCTAGGTGCTTCTAACATTTACATTATACAGGAATAAAAGAAATCTCCTTATTTTTTTAGTCTCAACATTCAGTTTGTCCTCTGCATCAGACCACAGACTGTATATAAAGGGCGGCATCATTTGGACTGGACCGTGTTATGTTCTCTCTGCAAGTCTAAACTGACAAAGCTGTTGGTTTAGTAGGGCTACATTCACTGAAATATAGTGTAACATAACTTATAGTTATAGTATACTTTTCTTGAATGCCGATTTTACCAGTTTACACTGGCTTTAGCTAAAACTTAATGTTACCGTGTTGTAACATTATATATGGACAAACGACGATACCAAAATGTTATTTTGTTATAAAATATTACAACATTTTGAAAATAATATGACTCCTGCCCAGCGACAGGACATTGTTGACCCTAAGAGAACTTGAAATACTTTGTAGCGCCAATCATCCAGCTGTCCAACCTGTGTCAGAGTTAGCACACCGCGTGATTTGGACCACGGCGGCCAGCAGGGTCCACTCTCTGCCCGGCTCAGGCTTCCCTCTCCGGGGGAGCTGCCTGAAACGCTCGTAGCACAACTTAGCAATTTCATCCGCGTTCACCATGTTAAACCGGACAGGAACGTGCAACTGGAGGCTGACGGGCATTAGTAATAAGATTTATGTTAACGGTAAATATATTTTAAATAGTCACGGTGTCACATGAACATTATACGAACAATGTTTTGATTAAGTTCGACCGAGTGGTCTGCTTGGAGGCATCTCGAGAAAACGAAAAAGTTACTTCCGGGCTGAGCCAAGGAACGCTTTACTTTCACAATAAAGGTCCTTAACTTCAGAACTGCAAATGCCTTAGCAATATTCAATTAATAATTATTATACATAACTCTGCCAGTTGACTGTATGAATCCTTTAAATAATAAAATACAATTCACACATTTAAGAAAAAACTTTAAGAAAAAAAGGCCAGATTAAAACGCCATTCAAAAATAAAAAAATAATAGAACAGTATAGTAATAGTGTAAAGTACACTATAGTTGTATAGTAATAGTATAGTAATAAGTAAAAAGTACTATAAAATACTTTATACTGTATTTATATTGAACTGAATTTTGGGTATAGTGAGTGTTACATAGTGGAGGCTAAATTGTTTATACAAAAGTGCAAATTTAAAATGGAAGACCAGAATCATTGGACATTGCCTGCATGCATCATCTGCATAAAGAGCACAGATTGAGCTCAATTATACTATGAAAATATTAAAGTGATAGTACAGTCAAAACCAAGGGCATCACTTTGTGTTGTAAAGTGTTGGAGACATTAAAGCTCAGATTAGGGGCGTGATGATACAAGTGTGTCACGAGGCTGACTGTCATGAGAAGATTTTTAACACTATTTTGAAGAAATGTGAAATGCTGAAATATATGAGTGGGGATTCTGAAGATTTTGAGAATTAAACACTTAATTTCCGGCATTCTGGAGACATTTTCAGCTCAAATGTATGGTGGAAATGTCTTTATTTATATAACGAGAAATCCAGCTGGTAGGTGACAATTTGTAAATATAAAAATATTACAGAATATAATGCATTAATCAGCAGCTTGTTTTTATTTAGTTACTTTGTTTTGGACATTTCACAATTGTTTCTTCTATATTTAAATTGCATGGCATGTTTTATTATTGTGCAAATAAACCTTTGTTAGTTAACATTTCTTGGTGCAAGCTATTTTTCAGAACATTTTTAACAAATGCTTTCAAGAAGTGATGGGGACATGTCCCCAGCGTCCCAAGTGTAAATGACACCTGTGGTCAAAATATTGATTTAAATGAGTTTTTCATCCCTCAGCTCTATCAACTCAGAAATCACCTTTTCTCATCAAACGGATGGTCTACATATCTTCAAGTTACCTGGACACACATCAGACCTCTGTACTACAGTATGACCTACGTAAAACAGAAACATTTGGAGAGTTTGTACCACATATCTGAACTGACTCCATGATCACTAAATGTCAGTTGCACAACTGAGCAAACTGCAGCATTTCGGAAGAGGAGGAGTGGTTAGTGGAATTGTGTAGGCACCAATTTGATGTGACTGAAGCTTCACCTCAGGTCATGATGCTTGTTCTAACCTGACCCGTGCCTGCTTGATATGGCAGTCTCAGTCATGCAGGTCAAACACTGACTGGCACTCACTGATTCCATCAGTCAAATATGTCTCACATTTAGCAAACACTGCAGGGCTGCTGTTTGGCTGCAGCTACTGGTGCAATGGCCATCAGAAGAACACTGAGGCCCTTTGTGCTCATTGGATCCACTTGCATCTCTTATGCAAAAGTGGAAACTGACTTAGCTCCAAACTGTCATAATTTCTTCTACGGACACACTGAGCTGACACTGGCCGGAGCTGCAGATCCCAGTGCATTCAAAACTAATGAGTTCAGAGTTGCAGAGGAATACCACTCCATTCAAAAGAAATCATGAGAATATTCCAATTCTGAAAATAAAATAACATATTCAAGAAGGTTAAATGATTAAACAAGTCCCATACTGCTTTTACTATACATATACACTATATACCATGCTGTACTCCACAAATATATTTCACTTGCTTTCATCAGGGTGGTCCAGTCATACCTCAGTGTATTTGAGGTTGTTTCTTGTCACTTTATAAACAACCCACTGATAAGCTATGTGATCCGTAGCCTACTCTGTGACACCACTCTTACTTATGAAGCTGCAAACTGGACAGCTGGTGATAACAATGGTGTGAAACATTAGTTTTTATGGTCATCTTAAAATCTATATTTTCAATTACGATCCTGCCAGTCAAACCAGCCAAATGTGTAGGAAAAAGCGTCTCGTTCTGCCACAGCTTTATCCACATTCACAGTCATTACCCTTTTAACCGTTCTTACCGGTGTGTACAAATTCAGCATTAGCTTGTAGGTCCAAAGGCAGTGTAATAACGCATCACCATTCCCAAATTATCCTAAATCTTTTCAAGACCAATATTCAAACTGCATTGGTAAGTGAAATAAAACGATGCAGATCACATGCTATAGCAAAAAAACAGAGGTGTAAAAGTTCTGTTTTTATGGAGTGAAACAGTAACAAGACTTCAGGATGTTTGGAGTTACTCTATTCTGCCTGCCTGTTAGTGGGTTTCATGCGTGCTCTTTATGCTCCTGTCAACCTTCACATAAACACAGGTGTCAGGGGCAGCAGCTTAGCATCCTTCTTTCTATTCACTCATTCATCATGTACTTGATGTGCGTATACTTTTAGCAACGTTAGCTGCACAGCTCTTTAGATGGCAATGTCAGTCAGTTTGGTCCAGACAGAAACATCTCTATTATAACTATTTGATGGAATGGCATGATCTTTTGTACAAACATTCACGGTCCCCAGAGGATGAATCCCAGTGACTTGAGTGCCACTGTGAGGTTGACATTTGTGTTTGTGAAATGTCTCAGCATCTATTGGATGGATTGTGTTTATGTTTTTGTTACAGTGCTAACATGCTAAACTAAGATGGTGAACATGGCAAACATTCTACCTTCTCAACAACATTATGTTAACATTGCCATTGTGAGAATGTAAGCATGGATACATTAGCATTTAGCTGAAAGCACCACTGTGCCTACAGCCTCAGTGCCAACACCGGGAGTGAATGGGGTGGTGATTACCGCTTAGGGCACACACACCATCTACTGTAAAACCTCAATGAAAAAGGCCTTTTGTGTTGTCATTTGCTGTTTTGGTGGATGAACAAAACAAATCTCATTAGTTTAAATGACAAGACTGTTCAAATTGCATGCCTTATTCTGGTGAATATAAACTCTGTACATGTCACATGACCTGTCTATTCAAAAAAAAGCATCAACACAGTCAAGACTGAAATCTCATTTATTTTAGTTATGTACAGGAGAAAAATGCTGAATTTCACAATTAACAGAAAAATAAAAAATAAAATCACATCTCCTCTGTCTAGCCTCTGTAAAAGAGGCGCACTAGTTCATGATAACAGCACTCTGTTTCAGACACACATGCACTCATTCACCGCCTCTCTTTCCCCCACATCTCTCTCTCTCTCTCTCTCTCTCGTCACTTTAAAATTAAAGTTAAAAAATGTAATTCTCTCTGGTAGATATGTTATACTGCATTTGTGGGTAGCTGTGCTGTTGTCGTTAGACGCTGACGACATTAAAACTATCCTGTTGTCTGGTTTTGGTGCGTTTCTAAGCAGTGAGGACAGGTGTGTGTGTGTGAGGAGGGGGAGGGTGAGACTATAGTCAAATATAATTCTCTGTATGTGCCATCCTGTCCTTCCCACATAGACATACACACAATTTAAATGCCTATACACAATGGCATTAATGTAAGCAACCACACACACATACACACAAGTAAGCATTCACGCTCTTCCTCTATGTTCTTGTGTCTCCGTCTCCTAGCTCATCATGATTATCCCATGATTCAGTTCACAAATAGGACCCTCCCACAGGCGAGGGGCTATAGATGACAGGTGATTTCTCAGCCCTGTGATTAAGAAATGCAAATTAATAACAAAAAACTATCCCCTTGAATCCACTGTTCTCCTTTAGCCGTCTTGTCTCAGTTTACTGTGTCACTCCTGTCCAAACCCCTCCGTCTCCTCGATGGCATACAGGAGTTTCTCTCGGAGCTGCTCTAGGCTTCTGTAGGGCGGCAGATCCAGGCGATTGAAGCTGGGGGGAGGAGACAGGCAGGTCACTATTAGTCATTCTCTCTTTGTGGATTCACAGAGTACATCGAGTCTGTGAGCTGTGTGAGCCATACTAAATCTAAAGTCTTCTGTGGCTGCTGCTAGTTAAAAGATGCTGGAGGTGAAATCTTGAATATGAGTTTTAATTTTCAGCGACAGAGTCTGCCATTCCTGTGCTGGATTCAAATGACCTACCTACACACGAGGGACTCACTGGACATGATGCAGCATGTAATCCAGTGCTACTGTTTGTCATTTTATGTCGTTGATATCAGGCCTCACTGTTAACTGTTCACTCTCCTACAGCTGTATCAGAGCTGTAGTTAAGTTACTGCTGATGCAGTGTAATGATGAGAAAAGATTTGAGGCATCTTGGCCCTGGAATAAATACAATTATACAAAAACTCTCATACCAGTTAAGGGTTTTGTGGATTTTTTTTCAACTAAGCAAATTTGGATATAGGCAATCGAAACAAACAAACAAAAAACTACCAGGTTTTAGAAATGGCCAACAGTCAATCTAAATGTGTACTTTGTACTGAAGCAGGTTACGTTATCTAACAGACCAGTTCTGGATTGATGTATTTATTAACAAACAGATAAACAAATGTTTTGAGCACTGGAATTCATCCTCCTATCTAAGTTTAATGGTGCACTTGCTAGCTTTTGGGAGCTTTCAGGCGCATCATCCACGTCTTCCTCTTAAAGCACATCACTCAGCAACACTTGGGCCTTTGATTATATATGCTGCACAAAGTTTACCAACAGATGAGGCAGCAGCTTACCATGTGTGGCTTCTTGGAAGCCAAGTCTCCTTCCCCACCTTGTCTATGCAGAACTTCTGGGGACCATTACTTCCTGCAGAGGTTAAAAAAAAAAAGAAAAACAGTGTAATTTCATCAAATGTCAGCTTGATTTTGTTTCATCATAATTGTCTTCGAAATGGAAACACCTTAATGAAATTATACTGTAAATATGGATACAAAAGCTAGAGTTAAAATGATGTGTAATAAAACTAATAGGTTGTGAATTTACC